GACTGAGGAGTGGAATGCCCTGCCCCAGGAACTCATTACCAACCTCGTGGAGAGTATGGGATCGCGGTGCAGAGCATGTATTGCTGTCCGTGGTGATCACACACCCTATTAGGATCCGTGTAACTTCTTTTGTAGTACCAGGATAAATCGTGAAGACTTATGTGTAATCGACATGGTTGAATAAAAATGTCATAACAATTCGTCTTATTCCGAGTTTCTGTCAGTTGCTTTCTGTACAATATCGTTAAGGTTCTCTCTTGATATGATATGAATTTCATCGAGCTATGTTGTCTGGCAGAGGCACAGTGATCGAAAGTTGCTTTCGTCCCTAAGTTTTGCACACCAGTGTATTTTCCAGCAAGGAAGTTCTGAAAATGTTTGAAAAGGTGATAGTCGGTTGGTGAAAGGTCTGGAGAATATGGCGGGTGAGGTAGAACTTCAACCCCCAATTCGTTCAATTTATGGATAGTGATTTGTGAAACGTGTGGGCGGGCGTTGTCATGCAAAAGAATCGGACCCTTTCTGTTGACAAGTGATCCACTTTTCATCACAGGTGACAATTCGGTCCAAAAACGGGTCGTTTCTGTTGCGCAAAAGCAGTGAAGAAGAAACCTCGAGACGTGCCAATTTCTGCCGGTCACTCAAATTGTGGGGCACCCACTTGTCGAGTTTTTTCACCTTCCCAATGCGTTTCAGACCATCCTGCAACAGTGGATTTGCCAACGCCTAGCTTTTCTGCAATCTCTCGAACTGTTTGGGATGGGTCAGCCTCCACAAATGCCTTCAAATCCTCGTCAGGTATTGCTTTAGGTCGACCGCTACGAGGTTCATCTTCAAGGCTGAAATCTCCAGAACGAAATTTGTCGAATTCATTGTCGCACGGTGCTTTCTCCAACACTAGTGGGCCCCCACACCTGGTTAATTTTTCGAGCTGTCTCGACTGCGGATTGACCCAATTGTAGTTGAAGAACCACTATCGTTTCGAAGTTGCTCTTTTGTCCTTATGTTTTTTTTTTCTTTTCACATGCTTCAAAAAGTCTTGGAAAAAGAGGGTTTATCAAGCAATGGTGAAACGGCAATTATACCATCAGATAGCGCAGAAAATTCTCTTCAGGATGTACTACTGAGACGCAAGGGAGATTTCGTTTTTAATCAGCAATGAATGTACAAAAAATAGTAACACAAAACGCTGAGAACTTTCCAGACAACCTAATGGAATAGTAGGATTCTCTGTCCAGTAGTTTTTCGGAAGTTTTGAAGTCATTCTTTTCTTAGCAACAACAATGCTTCCAAAAAAAGTTCAGCATCGAAGCAGCATTACCCACATAGACATAATTACTTTGTCACTGCAGTCTATTGAACTTGTGTCTAAAAACTGCTCCTCTACTGCCAAAAAACATGTGCCATGATGTCTCGACACAGTACAGCATCGTTGTGTGAAACACGTGGAAGAGAAGGGGGGATCGTATGTGCCTTTGATAAATTTGCAGCGTTGAGAAAAAAGTTTCCCGGTTGTTGACTTTTCGCGGTTTTTCCCGTTCCGCATATGCTGTATACCCGCCTTGTCGGCGGCCATCGCCGCAAGATCGCTATACACTACTATTTCGATGGTTGAAAATAACTAAACTAAGTAATGTAATTTAGATAACTGAGACCTCCTCCCTCTTCCCGCTCGACGGAAACTTTTGGGGCAAAAGTAGCGGATTTTCGGGAAATTTCGGAGAAAACTGGTATGAAGCTGGGAGCATGTAGGTAGGTTGGAGTGGAGCAGGGGAGAGGGCTGGTCGTTGCGAGTCCCTATTCTAAGATTGGGGGGGGGGGCGTACTGACACCACCATTGCACACATCCCGATGTGTACCGCTGCTCTTAGGAACTCCTTGCGACTGAAGTCTGGTCCCTGCTACGTAATATTCGGTGGGGAAGGTTGTTTGAGTTGCGCTTCGATCCATCCCCTTTCAGACGCCCTATCGTTTGTTGGAATCACGACCATAGGTGTTGCTCCCCAATAAGGATGCTGAGGAGATCAGCAAAAGAAGGAGGAGGAAAAAGAAGAGAAAAGGAACGCCATGAAATACAAGTCATTCACACAATGATAATCATGGACGTAGCTTATACATGATATGACTCGCGTAAGACACCCCTTTCAACGCCGCTTTTTCCTTAGTGCCGCAATGTGATGGCGCGGACCCAGCACCAATGTCCTTCGCTCCCAGAAGCTAAAGCTGAGAGATGCGTTCAGCTGAACTATCAATTATATCAGGGTTCCGGAGAGTTTTGTAGAAAATTTCGCTAGTCCTCCTTAAAAAAGTCCGTTAGCCACGAGAAAGGCCATGAGCAAAATCCTCATGATCCAGAAACATCGCGCGAAGATAGAGGATTGTCTGCTAGATCAAAATTAGGTCTTTGTTTTACAATTCGAATAGATATGCGACAGACACTAACAGCTCAACCGCAGTCCCACTTCATCTTTTTACCGCTTCCGGGCCCGACTCCGCCATTCAAGGCAGGTAATGGGTCGCTGTCGTCGATTGCGGCGGCCAATGCCCACCCTTTTCTTGCAAACCTGCCCCCTACAGGCTCAGTACGACCACTTCGCAATGGGAGGGTTTAGCCTCGATGAAGCATCTCGATGCGGACGCCCTCCCTCTTCCAACACTGACATGGTTCTGGCTTCTGTGGAGGACCAATCCTGCCCAAAGTTTGAGGCAGTTGGAGAGGACGAGTTCTATTTCTCGATCCACTATTCACGGCATTTTGAAAGGAAACGAGTTTCGCGCGGCTTTGTCTGCCGAAACTACTTCCACGGTCTTCTACAGCAAGGAACGTTGCCGCGTGAGGCGTTCCGATCTATTGCCAGAACCTCTTCGATCGCCAGAAAGAACGACGACATGTGGCGAGTTCATAACTTGCCCTTCAGAATGAAAGTGGATCTCGTACGAAAAGATAGGAAACTGGAGTGGTTGCCGTTGGATCAAAAGCCAGAGCACGCTCCAAAGCGAGTATGCCACCCCAAGAAGGAATTGGTCTCGTTTCTCTTCTGCTCCACCGGCTTGCATTTATTATGAGATTTGTCATGAGGGTACTACTGACTGGAACACAATCATCGATTATTTCACATCGACATGGACAACGCCCGGCCACATCATGCGAAGGCGACAAGGGACGAGCTGGAGAATTTAGGAATCGAATGGCTGCCCATGCTCCGTATTCACCTGACCTTAGCCCTTGTGACTACCATGCTTTCAGGAGTCTCCAGGCTTACGCTACGGGGGATGTTCAACAACCATCAGGATGTCAAGCGTATGGTCGATGAATGGATTGCGTCCCGGCCTGCTTCCTTCTGGAAGGAAGGTATCGATGCCCTGCCCAATCGGTAGAGAGACGTCGTGGCTAAGAAGGGCCACTATCTTGATTACTGATTTTTCGCTTTTCTTGTTGTTAATATGTGTTGAATAAAATGAGCGAATTTTCTCAAAACTTTCCGGACACCCTAATACATATCAAGCATAGCATCTTCACCGTACCACTGTCGATAAAACTCTTGCATTACTCTCGAACAGGGCGAATATTCGTCGTACAGAAGCGACGTATAGAAAAATTTGACATCAGGAATATTGTGCTTGTATTTTCCATAGAGCTGAAGCGGTCGCCAAGGAGGAAGAAGAAGTTCGTTGGTTTACGAAAGAAAGAATCGAAGAGAATCCCAGTTAGGGAGCTTGAGCCACCACGGTTGAGCGACGTCGCACAAGTACGTATCTGTTCAGCGAACTTCGTGACAAAGAAAAAAAAACAAACAACAGACACGCTCCCGCACCTAGCGGATTATCCATAGTAGGACAAGAAAAAAAAACAGGGGAGACCCACAACTGCAATGTCAAAAACCTGCAGCTAATCAGCCAGGACTTTTGCCCCCCGTAGTCGGTCTGAGGAAATTTTTTTGTTAGTTGATTTTTTTCTTTCACGGAGTCAATATAGGGGAGGGGGTCGTAGTTGGAACTGGTAATTGGTTGCTTTGCTGACCTCCCCTCCCCCTCCCCGCTCGACAGCAAAAGTTGGAGAAAAACAAGGTTATCCCGAGAAATCCCGGAAAGTGCAAGAAGTGGTCAGGAAAACGGTAGGTGAGACCGGGAAGGGGAGCGGGCTCGTATCAGAGGAGGGAGGTAATGAGGGTCACACTTGCTGGAAATTTTTCCCCAGCGGCAGGAAGAGCCCTAATTGAGGAAATTGAGGCCGTCACAACTTAGGCTTGCGCAAAATTTTCCCCAGCGGCCAGGCAAGAGCCCTAATAATATGGATTTGGGCGCTGCTTTAGGCAAAATGTGAATCGTTGACATAAGATTGCCAACATGCGCGATCAAAAAGCGCGAACAAACGCCTGTTCGATCATCTCTCAGGATTGGGCTATGCTGGATTGGCGTCATTTGTTCATAATTAATGATTGATAGTGGCATTCATAGGTGAGCAGTAATAGGAATCCTCTTCTTGAAGCCTTTGCAGAGAAGCGAACATCAACCTAGTGATGAGGGGGTGAAGTTGTTCAGTAGAGTGCTTTTAGGTTTTTCAGAATATTATGTGGCTCATCTTGAGCTTACAGTTCAAAAAGCAGTTGCACAACAAACTTCAATCGAATGGGAACCGATTTGTTCCAATTTGTTGCCCATAATTCGAAGACAGGTTTGATAACTGAACGTCTGCCTTTTTCGACTTGCCCATGTACCTCAAGGACTTTTAGATGTCGCCGAACATTTATGAACAGACGGACTGCAAACCGCTTACGATTGCTATGGCGCCATGGTCTAACTGGTCGGAGTGTGTCAATGGTTAGGCTTTTATTTTGGTTGGGGCCAAATTTTCGCTTCGGCAAATTATAGTGACGGATTAGCCGCAAGTGGAGTATTGTTTTCTAAACTGCAACACTGACTGCATCGGCTTGAAGACAATGCTGTACGCTCAACTCCGAAGACGGTACTTTCCGTATTAAGGTTGATCGGTCTTCAACTGCAGTAATGTGCCTTTCTCCAGTCGAAAGTCACGGGAATGGGTAGGAGGGTTGTGACACCCGAATGCTGTCTCCATACTGTCCTGAATGTGGAGCGTTTGCATCAATACCTAAGCCTCCCAGCGAAACGACTCCTCAGCCTAGAGAACAATTAGAAGTGGATTAGCCGACAAATGACCCGGTTGGCTATGGTTAGGCTTACGGCCGTCCGTACGGCAGCTCGGGCGGAGTATGGGGATTGCATCTGGGCATCACTACTCTCCAACCCCACTCCCGTTCACTTTGACTGGAGAAAATGGCACGCCATTGCAGCTTCGGGCCCACTCACTCGCACATAGCAAGTACTACTACCCACGAAGGTGAGTGTGCAGCTTGTTTTGGAAGCGAGAACGTCGAAGCTCGCTTCTCAGGTACTGATGCCACACGCTAGTACTTGCGTCGGCGCTAGCAGTAGCGCCAAGCGGACACGATGTTCGGTTACCGACCTACCTCTTCACACGGCATTTTAGCCAGTGAGAATTTCTGATCGAACATACCTAATTTTCGAACAACCGGCAATAAAGGGTGAATAGTGCTAATTCTCCTAGATACACGATAACCATGTCGACGAAATGTGCCGAGAAAATTTGGTTAGCCAGCTAGAAAATTCGCTTCCACTCAGTGACTAGTTGAATTTGAAACAGCGGACCTTAGTTTGAAGGCAGTTGGCACGATGGTTTCCTACTTAGCCTAAAATGCTAGTAGGGCGCTGTATAGTGGGGAAATGGCGAAAGAACGGAGTGAAACGGTCAAAATCCTGCGAAGAAAAAGCCTCCGTTCTCAGTGACTTGAAAATCGATTTCGGACGAGTTTCCCGTAGGCATCTTACCAATCACCGCTACCGAAGATACGGCTGCATATGTACCCA